CATGTATGCGTAGGTGTGTGGATGTGAAAGAGGCAAGAGAGGTATGTCAGGATCGTGCTAAATGGAAATCTGTAGTCTCTCACTACCCCTCTGGGTGACAGACGTGAGTGTTTATGTATGTACTAATTTTATTCATAATATGTGGTTATTATTTTCATTATAGTTTTGCTACCACGAACTTGTTTTACAGTATTTAGATTAGACCATGTGCCTAGCAAAAAAAAAACCGATCCAAAAATCGTTTTAGATTTTAAGATATAAGAAATATTTCTGGTAAATTTTTTTTTTCTAATGGGAGAAATTATCATGAACTATTGTTATATCTTAAAATAAGATATACACGGTGCTTAAAATAAATCTAAATAACAAAATTATAAGAGGATGTCTTGAATAACCGTGATACGGTGGCGGGACGCCCCGGATTCTGAATTCATAATGGCGGTGAAATATAAATTTACAAATGAACATAGAAGTCGTGGAGACGCCTAAAGATAGTCATTTATAATATAGGTAATTTTTATTCTAAAAATAATTAAAACTACGTAAATAACAGTCACACTAAGTCTGCACAGTCAAAACAAACTGAAATGAACCGTAACTAAAGACTTTTAAGAGTGCAGTTTTATTTGGTATTGTTACTAATTCTGTCATTCAATAAAAATAACGAAAAATGAACTTTATTTCAAGCACGTTAAAGTCTTTGCGTTGGAGGATTTGTACTCTAACCACAACATTCTTCCGGAATTGGTATAACTAGTTTGATAAATAATCAGTGCATAAAAATGTTTAACTAAAAATTCAGTGTATGTATTACGATTATAACATAATATACTAGGTGGTAGGAAGGTGTCTGAGGTGTGCGTTAATTGCGTTACATATTGTATATATATCACCACAAAATCGTGAATAGAACCGTATATATATATATATATATATATATATATATATATATATATATATATATATATATATATATATATATATATATATATATATATATGTCCCATTTTATCTTTATATCACTTATAAATCCCAGAGAATACATGTAGTTTTTACACAAAAATCAATCGTAATTATTTTTGCCCCTAAAATTTTGAAAGATTTTTACTTTCACTCCGCTTTCACTCATCGTGGTGTACAAAAAAGTACTGACACTACTATGGTAAGTTTTTTTTAAAAATTGACGCAACTTGTGGTAGATAGCGGTACTACTAAGGTTGCCGATACAAAAAAATACAAAAATGTGGTCATGGTAGTTAAAAATACCATATCGGGGTATCGATTTTCGAAGAATTTAATTTTTTTTGTGATTTCAAAAGCGATTTAGATTTTTTTCTTTTTTTTTTCGAGTAGTCATGAGCAGGTTCACCCTCTGGTGCCCGTTTATCGTTGAATTTTGGGACACATAAACATAAACATAAACACTCACGCCTGTCAACCAGAGGGGTAGTGAGAGACTACAGATTTCCATTTAGCACGATCCTGACATACCTCTCTTGCCTCTTTCACATCCACACACCTACGCATAAAAGCTCGTTGGTTAAAGGTAGTCTTAATTTGGCCCATTTTTAATAAATCGCCAATTTGGTCGATAAATTTTCGCCTAGGACGTCCCTTTCCGACTCTACCATTCACTTCTGCAACATAAATTTTCTTTGTCACTCTTTCCTCATCCATTCTTTCCACATGACCAAACCACCGAAGCATTCCTTTCTTAATCCTGGTCACAACATCATCTTGCAAACCACACTCTTCTCTTATTACACAATTTCTTACCCTGTCATTCAGATTCAGCCCTAACATACTCCTTAACGACCGCATTTCTACTGCGTTCATTCTACTCTCGTGCTTCTTCTGCCACACCCAACTTTCACTACCATACGTTAAAGTAGAGACCAACACAGCATTGTGAATTGCCATACGTGCCTTTTTCGACACATTTTGACTCTTCACAATGTAGTGTAGGGCCCCATTTACTCTATTTCCCGCATTCACTCGTCGTTCTATATCCTTATCATATCTCCCATCCCTGCTAAATACGCAGCCCAAATATACAAACTCGTCTACTTGCTCGATCAACTCCCTTCTATTCTTATTTCACAAATCATTTTACTTTCTTCTCTTTCAAAAACCATAACCTTCGTCTTACTTGCGTTCACTTTCATACCCCTTTCTTTTAATGATCTTTTCATTAATGTGACCATCATTTGCAACTCGGCCGTCGACGACGCAAGGATAACTTGATCATCGGCGTACAAAAGGCATTTGACGGTTAACTCACCCATTCTTAGTCCGCATCCTTCAACTTTCAAATTTTGCAAACAACTGTCCATAAATAGGTTGAATAGCCACGGGAAAGCCACACAGCCCTGTCTGACACCTTTCTGGATGTCAAACCAGTCCGAGTAGACCCCGTTGATCCTAGCACAAGCACTTGAGTCCCTATAAAGAGACTCCAATGCTTGTATCAAGCCTGTGCTCAACCCAAATTATTTCAGTGTTTGCCATAGCACATCCCTATCAACTCTGTCATAGGCCTTTTCCAAGTCCATGAACGCACAAAAAACCTTTTGGTTTTTGGCCAAAAACTTCTCCGCGATCATGCGCATGGAAAAGACTTGATCTGTACATCCCATTCCCTTTCTAAATCCCGCTTGCATATCCCAAATTTTTCCATCAGTTTCTTTCATGACCCTTTCAATCAGTACTTTAGCATACAGTTTTCCCACAATGCTAAGAAGGCTGATGCCACGGTAGTTTTTACAGTCCTGCTGCGACCCTTTTCCTTTATATACTGTGACTATCACGGCTTTGCACCAGTCTACCGGTACCCGCTTCAGTTCCCAGCATAAATTAAACAAGGTGTGCAGCAGGCCTGCCACCACTTCCTCTCCAGCCCTTAGCATTTCGAGTGAAATTCTATCATATCCGGCAGCCTTACCTGCTTTCATGCTTTTCATTGCTTTCATTATTTCATCTATAGTTATCTCGCTACCTCTTTCCTCTTCTTTCGGAGTTTCTACTTCACTTAGTACACTCGTTGTCTCCTCACTCATAAACACGCTTTCAAAATATTCCTTCCATCTCTTTAAATTCAAAACTTCATCATTCAGAATATAGCCATTCTCGTCTCTTATAGCATTCATCATAGGCTGTTTTGAATGTCCCCTGGCAGTTCTTACAAGTTTCCAGAACATTTTAATATTTGCCTGGAAATTATCCGATATTCTTCTATCATTCTTAATCGTTCTTTCTTGCTTTTTCCTTTCAACTACTTCTTTTACTCTCTTATTAAGACGTCTAATCTCTGCCTTTTTTCTTTCAATCTCATCATTCGTACCGCCAGAATTACCAGCCTTTGTTGCTAGTAAATCTAGCCATGCTTTCTTCTTTGCTTCAACTTCCATACGTATCACATCATCCCAACATAACGCATTATTTTTCCTTTCATTCTTTCTCTTACTAACACCACATACTTCGGTAGCTGCATCCACTAAAGCTTTCTTAACATTTTGCCATACATTCTCCAAGTCTAACTCCTTCATACATAATTCATCCAAACCACTTATATTTTCTTTCAGTCTACATTTGAACTTGTTTTTCTCACCTTCATCTTGTAACTTTCTTTCTTACCGAAAAAATAAATTCCGTAAAAACTATATTATTTCAATTGTAACCTTTCTGTTCTAATACGCTGTAACGCAGTGGTAGACACAGATGACCGATGGCGCCAACGCCTGAATAGACCATTAATTCGGCATAGAACCAAATAATGATCCGTTCCTACATTAGAACCCCGGTAAACCCTTGTATCTACCACTGCGCCCCTCAATCTTTCATCCACAATTATGAAATCTATCATGCTTCTATCGTCACCTCTTTCCCAAGTATACATGTGAATCTTCTTGAGGCGAAAGCAAGTGTTCGTCACAAAAAGATTCTTTTCCATACATACGGTGAGGAGACTTTCACCATTCTCATTTATACTTTCATCACCAAACGTTCCCAATATCCTTTCATAACCAAGCCTCCTCACCCCAACCCTTCCATTAAAATCTCCTAGCATAATAATATTTTCATTTCCCTTACACTTCATTAACACCATCCTTACCATTTCCCAAAACTGCTCTCGGATATAAGTGGGCTTAGACATGTCTGGGGCGTAGACCCCTAACACAAACAACTTCTTTAAGCCCACTTTCATTCGTATCCATAGCAGTCTTGGGCTTACACATTTATACTCTTTCACACATTGGCCCATTCTTTCTGAAAGGATGATACCTACTCCCTGGCATGCCCGCTCGATCTCTTCTACACCAGACCAGTATGCGGTATACATGCCATGTGTAGTGACATCCTTCCCCTTCCTTTTCGTCTCATTTACACATAACACATCTATTCCTCTATCATACATCATATCGCATACTTCATCCATTTTATCATTCATTGCCCCACATACATTCAACGTAGCCAGACGGGCCTCTGCAATCCACTTTTCGCCTCTCCGGGAGACATTGTATAATATTTGGTACCTATATTACCATTTTTGTTATAGCCGATATACAATTGGCACCAGGTGCGAATATCGAAATTGGTAAGTGTACAATTTCCTATAATTATTATTTTCGATGAAGAATGGGTATGAATACACTTATTTTGTTATAGAGCATGTTCTGATACCATCGGACGAAGATGAGGACATTTTTAACATAGGTACGCCAGATACTGCCAGTGCTGATACAGTACCTAATTCCACTTCTTCGTTAGACAGCAGCCAAAGCTGTTTGTTAACAGCCTTAAATTTAGAATTAATGTCACGGAATTCGAAAAAGATAGGAAACTTGTCCCTTGATCACCCAGACATTAGCTCTGATGATGAAACTCTCTGAGTTGGTTTAATTTTGTTCCAATTGCTAACTATATTTCATTGTTTTATTATATCGCTAAAAATGTGCTTTTTTTACATTTTAAGATCAGGTTATTTTAGGTTTTATAAAAGCATGATTCCATCTGATAAGAGACGACATACAGAGGAGATAGACCCTCTTATATTCGGTGAGAGACTAGAAGTACCCATGCATATCAAAAAACCACGTCTCTGGTCACCAAGTACAAGATCCAATTTTGAAATGGCGGTGCCTTCATCTGCGCAGTAAGTATCTCTACTGCAGCATGTGATCATGAACATATATTGCCGTTTTACCATTTTATGTACATATATTTTCTTTTTAGATTCATTGAATGCGGTGGAAGCAGATCCAGCACGCCCTGCACAAGATCAAATGCTGAAATGGCGGTGCCTTCACCTGCTCAGTATCTCTACTGCAGCATGTGATCATGAACATGTATTGCCGTTTTACCATGTAACATAAGGGTACTTACATATATTTTCTTTTTAGATTCATAGAATGTGGAGGAAGCAGATCCAGCACACCTTGCACTACTCAATTAGAGACCATTTCACCAAAAAAGAATCATATTTTAACAGATATTGAAATTGACGATATTCTGAATTTTGGTAACTGTTTTTTTTTAATATTGACGATACCACTAATTTTTTACTTATTGCAATGTTGTAATAAGCTGATTTGTCTTTACAGGTAGCGAAGAAGAAAGCGAGTCTGAAGACGAAGCATTCCTCATTTTCATGCCAAGGACTGAGCGTATGTTTTTTATGAATGACGACGCTGAGGACGAGGCAGTAATATCTTCTGGTACTGCTTTAACTGCACCCTCTACCAATTTACCAGAAGTTTCTGGACCTGTCGGCATCCCGGGGGAAATGCCGACAGGAAATGCTGATATACTATACAGCACGCCGGCCGGGCCCAAGCGATTGCTCTTTGATTGGAAAGCTTTTCCAGAAACACCGATCCCTCCACGGGATAGACGTGAAATTTTTAGAGAAGCAGGAGGTCCTGTTCTGAACTTGCCAGGACAATTCGTACAGAGTCCAGAAGCCAAATTTTTGTCCATATGGGACAGCGCAATCATGGGTCATATTGTTACAGAAACAAATATGTATGCCGAAGAAGAGATTTCTAAAAGACAAGATACTCTTGGAACCCAATCGCAACTGCACCGCTGGACTCTTACAAACGTTGACGAACTGTATCTTTATTTTGGGATACTTTTAGCAATGGGACTCTGTTTAAAGTCCAATATTAAGGAGTACTGGCATTGCGACGGGTCCATCTGTGACACACCAAATTTCGCAAAACATATATCTTACAACAGCTTTATTCTGTTGTAAGATACACCGAGTCGCCTACTCCCATATCTGGGATCATTCCGAGTTTGGTCCTCCGTCTGTTGCAGGGTCTCGAGAATAGAGGCAACTGTGTGTGGATGGATAATTATTATAACAGCCCCGCCCTCGCACGTACGTTAAAAACGATAGGTTTTGATTGTGTCGGTACTTTACGGACAAATCGATAGTTCGTACCCCCACAGCTGGCATCTTTAAATAAAGGTAACATGGCTGTTGGAGAAATACAGGGATGCACCAGTGGAGACGTGGATACGTGGATATTTTGGTCTGGCGAGATAAAAATAGGATAGCAACTATATCCACGTATCACTGCAACGCAGTGCAACGTATAAATGACACAATCAAACCGATAGTCGTTTTGGACTATAATTTTTGTATGGGAGGGGTTGAGCGGTAAGGATCAAAAACTAGCGATTCCCTATGGAACGAAAAACGACTCGCGTGTGGTACAAGAAACTGTTCAAGCGCCTACTTAATGTTAGTGTCTTGAACGGTTTCATCTTGCACTCTGAGTCCCCAGTACCAGAACACCCAGTTCCAAGATTCAACACACACAGAGGTTTTAGATTGGAACTCATTAAGAATTTGTTAAAAAAGAAAGTGCAACCTCCAATTGACGCAATTACCTCACATGGTAGCGCCACTACTTCTTAAAAAGAAGTGGCGAATATTTTTTACACCTACCCAAAGAATATCAGACTCTTCCAGGCCGAGGTGGGGAGAAATTGCGCAGGGTTTGCGTTGTATGCCGTAAACGCACCCACGTTTATTGCCCTGGTTGCAACGTGACTTTGTGCCGGTTTACATACACTAAATAAAAATTTTAAGCTTTTTAACCTACTTTTTAAAAGTAGGACGTTCTCAATTCGACCCGTATGTTTTTTCTTTTGTTTTATACTTTTTTTCTAATTTTTGTTTTTATTATTATTATGCAATTTATCCGACTTTGCCATTGTTTCATTTTCGTCAAGTTAACCCATAAAAACCATTTTAAAAAAATTAAAAATTATTTTTCACCATTAACAAATTAAACTAAACATAAAAATGTAAAAATAAAAACACCGATGAATTTAATATATTAATATATGCCTTTACAAATAAATATAAAATATTCGACGAAAGACGACTCTATATATTTTATGTCCTTAATTCTCAGTTTGGTTCGAAATTTTGTCAATGTTTTTAGTTGATTTTAATAACTCTAGCAAATGATTAAAAATATGTGTTTATGTTTATTCATTTCATATTCAGTATAGTTATTGATAAAACAATTCATTTATAAAAACTTCATCGCAAATAGAGAAACCACGATTTGTGGTCATCGCCTTACAAACCAACCGCAAACATAACGCGAAATTATCAATAGCAGAGTTTGATCATTGTCACGTACGAGATGTAATAGTCTTTTTAAATTCATCATATTATCCTTATGAGGGGCTGAATGACAGTTTTTCAGAAGATAAGTTTACTTTATTATACGATCAGTATGCGAGATTTCAACAGTCGTATCATGGACGCCGATCAGAGCCGTTGATGGGTTTAAAGGAGTTCATAGACGTGGCTCCATTATTTGTAATTGATTGTTCAAGACAACACGAAACTTTTAAAGGTTCGATCGATGTGAGAGTTGAAATCGAAACAGACCAAGAAATACCAGATCAGACAACCGCTTATTGCTTGATATTAAACGACTGTATATTCGAATACAAACCACTGAGTAATATCGTTAAGAAAATATCTTGAATAGCAATACAATAATCGTCGATCTTCAAGGCTTCAAAAATAGCAAAAATGAATTTATAGTAAATGAGTTTGCTATAGCCACTCTAGAACACCAATATATTCCTAATTAAACCTCTTTACCCATTCACTTCACTATCTCTTGAAGATAAAAAACAAATTGGCTGGATTGAAAAGTACATGGAGTATGGAGTGAGGGCTTTGTTGTATTATAGAGAGTTTCACGGAATCATAAAGACATATTTGAAAGATAAAAAGATTTTTTAAAAGTATGTGAAAAAATGAAATGGGTGCAAAATATTTTCGATAAAAATAATACTATCATGGATATGTTGCTTAGAAGCTCCCAATTTAAATACTCTTTGTGAACTTTATTGTAAAGATACTTTACTGTATAGCTGTTTTACTCATAAGAAAATATGTGCGTAAAAAAGTTTTATGTATTAAGAAATGGTGTTTTGAAAACAAAATTATTGTTTGATTTCCAATAAAATATATGTAAATAAACACTTCATCTTTTAATTTAAACTACCTTTGTGTTCGAGAAGAAGAAAAAAAATAGTTTCAGGCCGCTAACAATTAGTACTTATTATTAAAGTAACTGCTTTTCTTGTACCACCTTGAATTTTTAACGATGAAATAGATTAGCCTTCATATTTTGTTGTTATATTATTGAACCATTTGTATTTGAGATTCCGAATGAAACGGTATTAGAAATGGAGCAAAGATAAAAAAGCGGATCGAGAATTAGAATAAAAATTTAGACCTCTAATGGAGAGAATTGGGGCCTTTAGCGGCATGTAGCTCAAGTGAAGCGAGAATAAGTAACGCAGAAGCCCCAATTCTCACCTACTCCCATGCATGCCCTGCACAGGGGGCTATCAGTAACACCTATGGTAAACAAATGTTTGTTAAAAGAGCCATGTCCTGCGATAGCACTTGTTACTATCCTGATCTGTGGCTTGTTCAGTCTCATTAGAACCTTGGTTAGACGACTGTTTATTTCAGGCAGGGCCTCCCTAGCTTGTCTACAGTGTACTAAATTTTTCCAAAGTTGAGCGTGTAAATAATTGAGCGTGTAAATTATCTACGTACCAGTGAACGAACGTAGTCAAAGGGGATTGGTATTATAGGTTCCGGCTCTATACTTGCCAGAGCCGATCCCCTTCTGGCCAGTTCATCTGCTGCATCGATGCCTCTAGATCCACTGTGTCCCTTGATCCATTGCAGAGTCACATCGTTGTGCTTACATACCTCATTCAATCGTTGATGGCACTCGTATATCAGTCCCGAGTTCGTCACATTGCAACTCAGAGCTTGTAGTACCGCCATACTGTCGGTCAGTATTCTGATGGAGAAGTCTTTCACCTTCCTAGCCTCTATTGCTATGGCCGGTTGGATTATACCCATGCATTTAGCCTGGAAGATTGTTGACGGTACCAAGTATGTGGATATCAAGGTCTTCAGAGTAAGCCCCAGACCCCACACTGATAACTTTGCTCGCATCCAGCGCAGAGCAGTTCGAATCGTCGGCGACCGAGCTCTTATCGATCGGCTTGACTCAATGGCATTGTGCATCTCTTTGCGTATTTTATCGCATCTACCACGGGGAGTGCTCTGAGGAATTGTTCGGACTAATTCCAGCCGCACAATTTCCTATCGCACATCGCAACAAAACTCTCGGTACAACCCTATCATCTGGATGACTGGCGATCCACCACTAAGCGATTTAAAAGAAGTTTTCTTACACGCACAACTTCCTTGTGGAATCAACAACCACCAGAGATTTTTCCGGACCGATACGACTTAGGGAACTTCAAGAAAATAGCCTATTCCTTTTAAAAAGCCGGCTACGCACCTGCAATCCCTCTGGTGCTGCAGCTGTTCATGGGCGGCGGTAATCACTTACCATCAGGTGAGCCGTATGCTCGTTTGCCCCCTCTCCTATAAAAAAAATTAAAAATAAGTACTCAAACATTTAGAGTTTCTCACGAAGTTATTCTTAAGCTGTCTACACACCGAAGCCCGCCGGCACGAACCAAGCGGGCAAGGCCGGCGGCCTGATTTTAACGATCTTGCCGGCGGCGTGCGCCCGCGCGGTCCACCCTGCGGCACGCCCCTCTCCGCTCTTCAGTTGCCCGCCGGCTTTTAAGGAATAGTGACGTATCCTCCTAGGTGTGCGTTATTTCGTAGTTAGCAGTGGCTGCAAATAACCGCCGGTTCGACAAACTCCGCCGATCGTTGAGTCCCGTGATTCCGTGAGGCGTCGAGGTCACCGGCCCCTAGGTGATTCTTGGCACTTTATGCGCTTCGTGCATCCTGTGCCTAGTCGCGTAATAAAGTGCCACCGTCGCACTTCCCCAACCCTTTTGTTGACAAAAGGACAGTTCCACCTCTAGAAACATTGGATGCAGAAGATGCAGCTGGAAAACCTTTTAATAGTAGTAGCCAGGATATTGAAAATATTTTAACATCCTTTGAAAAATAGGAGTTTAAGTACCTATGTAATTGTCTTTTAAAAATTAAAATATTGATTGTATGGAAATGTCAATTTTCTTGAGTTTGTTCATACATATCGGAAATTTCGTTTTTAATGACCTAAATTTCATTCACTAACATTTAACTCAGTGATTTATAAAAAGTTAAAAACACATTTCATACTGGTTGAGCGACGAGCCTAAGGTTACCGAATTCCAATTCCCCGGTTGAGCCTTAATCGCGTTATTACGCGAGCGTTATTACGCGAGATGTTACACCAAATGGACTGTATAAGCGGATGGCTTCTTCCGTCTCCACAAAATGGCGACTATAGCATGCGATTTTCCTGACAATGTACTCGCTCTTCCCTAAACGAACTATTGCTTGCCAAAATCTATGAAGGAACCCCGCTTGATCACGCTAGGAGAAAATAAAATTGGAGCGGATTAACTAATAAATACAATTATGTCAAGCGGGCTTATAACTGGAAGTTACTCACCGGGGTGTTGCTTCGATGCGGCTTGGGCGCTTTGTTGCTGCGGTGCGACTTCTGGCGGATCTCCTGGGGCACCAGAGATGCGTTCCTGTCCGGTGATGCGATGGAAGAGGGCGCGCGTGGGCGGCGCGCGCGTTTATATTAACTCGGTTGCGAAGATCACGTGATATTCTAGAACTATCTTCTTTCCCCTCTCACCCCACCATCCCGGTGTGTTGAAAGGGACAACAGGTGAAGGAAAGGTCGAAGGAAGGACAGATCTTGGCAA